AGCAAAGGCCAGGAGCCCAAGATATACAGAGCTAGGATCAGAATGCCTCCTTTGGCAGATAGTAGCTTCAGGCACTCCACAGTCCCAGAAATAAAGTTGGAAGTTTCAGCATGCAATGAAGGGTGCCAAAATCCTGTCATCTTTATGGCAAGCCACTTCTAACAAACAGATGACCCCAAAGGGTCAAAGCTAGTGTCCTCTCACTTCATCCTTGGCATAGAATAGTCTTAAGAGTCCAAAACTGTCCCAAACAGCCTGTAGGAGCTTCCAAGGACAACCATTACTAAGATGCTGCCCTGGACTTATGAAGGAATGTCTTGTACCCTGTAACCCAGACACTCCTAGAATTCCCAACCCTGGAGACCTATGTGGTCTGCTTTCCTCAGTCACCTCAATTTAAAAGAGAGAAAATTCGGTTCTCACCCAGTTATGGCAAACTGATGGCCTGAAGATCTCTTTGGAGATCTCCTGAAAGTATCAGTTCCTTCTCTAACCTGTCCCCAGGCACCAGATCTCACCTCCAGTATGTGCTGCTGCGACGTGAGAGTGTTAATGATGCGAATATTCCGGGTCTTGGCAGACAGCTTCCCCACCTCGTACTGCGACCCTTTCCACCAGGGATTCCCAAAATCATTGGCCCAGTCCGATCGGGGCAGCTGAGGTGGGACGTGCACGAAACGGCCCCGCGGGGTGCGGTACCTCAGGCAACCAGTCAGGGGATCTATGTGCTTGCGGATCTTTAAAGAAGGGTTTGAGTTTGGGGTGAGGCTGGGCGCGGATCCTAGCCGTTACTATTTCAGATTCCAGCTATTTCCCGCTTTTCCTCCCTATCACCGCTTCCCCCACCAAACCCCATGTTCCAACAGAACTTACGTCTCCGGTGTTTGGATCAAACCAGTGGCTGATGTCCTGGCCTGCAACTTCCACAATGGGTTTCAGCAGCAGGTTCCCTGGGAAGGAGGAGCTGTTGTCAACGCTGGCTACCCAAGAACCAGCCCCGCCTACCTCCACCCCACACACACCCCAGTCCTGGTCCAACCTGTGTCCCTTACCCTTGTACTCCTGAGCCAATGGCGTTAGGTCGTACACGTATCCCAAGTAAGACACCCAAAGGTCTTCGGGCTGGTTATGTCTGGCCACTTCTTCCGGCGTGAAAAAGCGACGCTGGAAGCCCTCAAACTCTGGCCCAGCCACTAGGCCCCGGCGCGGCATGGCTCTTGCTCTATCGGGCACTGGGTCTCTTGGCTGCTTCCTCGCTCCTCAGAGCACACACACATTCTCCGCGTCCAGGAGCTAAGGTGAGCGCGTTTACCCGCTCACATGGAAACCATTGTCCTTTCCCGGCCACCGTCCACTGAGATTAAACACTGTGAGGGCGAGGAAGGGCTTGGTCTGTGCGAGCTCACGGGAAACGTAGTCTGATTCCGACATCGGTCACATAAACATTGAATAATTTGAATTCCAGGGAAAAGCGAACACATTCCGTTTTAATCCAGAGGTCTGGGCTACACGGGATATTCAGGAAGAACTATCTTAAGGCAGAAAAACAAGGTGAGGAAGCAGGATGGAAGAAGGTATTCTCGCTAAATTTCTGGGTTTCTAAAAGGTGTAAGAAAATACAAGTAAATTTCTCGCGATATTTTAAGTCACCCGGCGTAATAGGTCTCGGTGAACCATTGCCCTGGAACAGGAGAAGCTCGCGAGATTTCTGCAGTTGCCGAGGGGACGAAGAGGAGAAGGAGTGGTGATCTCGCGAAAGGAAAGACGTCGGGAGCGCTCGCGAGATCTCAGACCACCGGACCCGAAAGGTTTTTAGGAAGTTTAAGGGCCCAGAGGGGCCCGCGGGGCAAATGGCTGGAGCTGGGCCGACCATGCTACTACGAGAGGAGAATGGATGTTGCAGCCGGCGACAAAGCAGTTCCAGCGCCGGGGTTAGCGCGGGCTCGGGTTCTGGGATTGAGGGGCTGTCGGGCAGCAAGATGGAGGGGGCGGGGGGGTGCCCCGTGGGTTGCCGGGAGCTGTGGTTTCGCAGACAGGCGGGCAGCAGAGACTGCAAGGTCTGAGTGTATTCTGCCCGGAGCAGGACTCGGATGGGGAGCGCGAGGACTCGCCGGCTGCGCGTGCCCGGCAGCAATTAGAGGCGCTGCTCAACAAGACTATGCGCATTCGAATGACAGATGGACGGACACTGGTCGGCTGCTTCCTCTGTACCGACCGCGACTGCAATGTCATCCTAGGTTCGGCGCAGGAGTTCCTCAAGCCGTCGGGTCAGTGCCCAGGGGATGCACACCCGCTTGGGAATGTGGCGGAAGTTCACGCAAGGCATTTTCCCTCAGGGTCTGACAGCACTCCTTGTTTTGTGGGGCGTGTTTTCGTGGCTCAGAAGGGGCGGGACCGACTTTGGCCTGCCTCCCTGATGCTGTGACCCTTCTTTCCAGATTCCTTCTCTGCCGGGGAACCCCGTGTGCTAGGCCTGGCCATGGTACCGGGACACCACATCGTTTCTATTGAGGTGCAAAGGGAGAGCCTTGCAGGGCCTCCGTATCTCTGACCATAATTAGGCATGTCTTTCAAACCTCATTAAATTTATGACTGATGTGCGTTGTGTCTGTGTGTAGCTTCGATGCCAGGACAGAGAATACACCCGACCGCTAGAAACGGGAGTTTATCTGAGGCCAAGAGCATTTTCAATCCTCCCCCAACCTTACTCCCAGGGATGCCAAAATTTCCCTTCAGTTTGAGATTGGGGATGGGGAACAGGCTGTAGACCAACAGAACTGGGGTGGACCCTAGCATCTTCCCTCCCACGCTCCTGCTCCAGAATTGTGGCGGGAAGGGGTGTCATCCTGCTCCGGAAGGCCCATTGTTTCCCGCCCCGGCCTGGCAACACTGAGTTCCTCTATGCTGGGGTCAGAGAACGGGCTCGATCCCCAAGGGGAACCGGGTAGGCGGGGGTGAAACAAGGCCCCCTCTACTATTGATGTGGAGGTGACTTTGGGGTCAGGGACAGAACTCTGGGGTCTAACCGGGAAGAATGGACAAATGCAATAAGGAAATGCCAGGAGGCTGAAGGATGCTTCCCGCCAGAGTATTTGTAATCTCAGGAACTCGTTTCCTGCTCCTGGGCACCCCTCTGCTCACAGCACACTCCTGTTCATAAATTCTTTATTGATGTGTTTTTCTTCACCTCCAGCATTGCCCCTCAGCCCTGTAATATTCTAGAGGAGCTGAAGCTGAAAAGGATGGCACAGGTTCAGTTGTCCTGATCACGTTAAGGGAGTGGGAAGGAGGGTGTGCAGGGTCCAGCCCAGATATTCACGATTCAAATGTGGGTAGTCACAGGAAAGCAGTTTTTCCGGGGCGTGGGAGTTTTCGCCAGCACTGGGGTCCAAAAATGTTGCTGTCCCCCAAATGGATGCTAGAACCCGGCTCAGGTAGGGGTGGGGGTAGGGCAGAAGATCCTGGCTTCGAGTCCTTGGGCCCCACGGGAAGGGAGGACTGCACTATTGTTCTTGACTCGAGGCTCCTCAGACCCAAACCTTTCCCGGCGTAGGAACTGCTTGAGACCCTGGTGAGCCCCGGGTTTGCCGCGGCTGCGGGGCCCGCCGGCGCCGATAGAGGGCCCGGCTGTAAGGCACGAGACAGTCGGCCAGGCGAAGGCGTAGACAGAGGCGGCGGTAGCTGGCCAGGGCAAGCACGAGCAGCGGAACGAGGAGTAGGAATCCGGTGACCAGCAGGGCGGTGAAGCCCGGGTCCCGTAGGTGCGCGGTGCAAGGAGGTGCCTGAGAGCGCAGGAACTGGGAGGAGAAGAGGCGTCAGGCCCAGGTCGACCTGAGCCACATGGTGCCCAGAGTGGGAACAGCCCAGCCCACGGGGTGGAGGGGAGAAGTTGTAGCCCATAGACCCCGCCGCGAGCATCACCACACTGGACTGTGCCACACGCGCGGACACACACACAGGGGTGCACGCTTACCTGGGAATGGCAGAGGAAGCCGAAGCCTAGCATGGTGACAGCGGGTAGCAAGATGGTCCCCAGCACCAGCGCCAGCAGGAGTAGATTGAAGGCAGCCACCATTAGGTTCTGAGCAGTTACCAGCACAGCGCAGGCCCAGCAGTCCAGGGGATCGCGGGGCTCTGGGCTGCCGCCGAGAACCGGTCGCTGCGCCCCGGGGACATCCGCCATGGCCTGGCTGGCTCTCGCCAGCCTGGGCCTCGGCCCTTATAGCCTTCTTTCCTGCCCCTCCCCCGACCCATCCTCTCCCCACCCCACCCCCCCTTATCCTGGAATGCGGCTCTAGGATTAGGCACCCCCATCCCAAGGAGCGGTCCAGAGCTCTGGACATTCCACAGGCGCCTCCGGGAGGGGTTCGTCCTTGTCAGGGCCTGTGCAGTTCCTCCCCATCAATCACTTTCTTGCGGCCCTCCTCCCGGTACTCTCCCCTGCTATCACCAGCACGTTATCAAAACAGGATTTTCTTTCTTCTTTTATTTTTAATATTAATAATCTCACACAAAAAAATCACCGAAAATAGGAATAGGGTTGGGAAGACCCCTCTGCCCCTGGGGCAGAGAGACAGTGCAGTGCGAGGGGGCGGGACTGTAAACCCCCCACCCCACCACAGCCCCAGCGGGGAGGGAAAAAAAAAACAAGAAAACAAAAAGAGAGCCCCAGAGAAGCTCGTCCTGGGGTGTCCCAGCCCCAGTGAGGTCCTGGGCTTGGGCTGTTTCACACTTAAAAAGAAAAGGGGGGGGGGTGTGAAGGTGAAGGTCTTGTTTTAAAAATTGGCCGGGGCTGGGGAGGACGGGGTTCCTTTTCCTCATAGTTCTTTCTTTAAAACTTTTTAAATTTTTTATTTATTTATTTATTTATTTATTTTTTTACAAAATACCATTTCAGTTCCCACTTCTTCCCCTACAGTACAGGAGTCGCTCACCCTCAGGCGGGGTTGGGGTCAGGTCGGGAGTCGGGGACTGGTCCGAGAAAGTGCAGGACGTAGGGGAGGGGAGCTGGTTTGAGCACCATGAGAGCCCGGCTGGAGCCACGGACGGACGGGCGGGCGGAGACCGACGGGCCGAGCCCAGAGGACACACATTGGGGTGGGGGGAGAGCCCAGGGGCGGGCAGTCCCGGAGGGGCGGGTGGGATGGCTTGGGGGTAGCGGGAGGTTGGGTTTTCCCAAAAATGAATAAATAGAGGTGAGTGGGACTGTTATAAATTAAAAACCAAAAACAAACAAAAAAAATACAAATCATAACCAAGTGAATAAACAGACATGTACAGGGGGTCACAGCTAGCATTGGAAGTAAAAAAAAAAAAAAAAAAAAGGAGGTTCTGGGGGAGGGGTAAAGCCCATAGAAAGAATCTCATTAAAAACCTCGGCTGCCTTAACGTTTATGTACATACACGAGCCGCGTGCATCAGCGGGCGGGCGACTGGCAGGCGTGAGGGAACCCGTATGTGACCCCCGCCGCCGCCGGAGCCTGGTCCTTGTGTCTGTTGCTAGAAAGGCCAAAGTCGGTGAGGGGAGGCGCTGGTGGACAAGGGGCTGCCAGCCCCCTCCCCCGTCTCCCATTTTTTTTTCCTTTTTTCCTCATATTTGTTTTAAAAAAATTTTTTTTTCTTAATAAATTAAGTGAGGGGAGCTGCCAATAGGGTGGAAGGGCTGGGCCCAACCCCCTTCCCGGCCAAAGGCGGGACCTAGGTCCAGCCCAGGCATGTGCTGGTGGCCCCGCGGCGCCCTACAGAGAGGCGGGCGGGCGGGCGAGCGGGGCATCCGGCTTCATCGCGACGAGCTGGTGGGGGCCTGCGGAGAGAAAAGCGGGCGGGGCTCAGCGGTTGACGCTAAGCGGTCCCCAGGCCACCCGCCTAAGTCTCCTCCTCAGCCCCTCATCCGCGCCCGCGCTCACCAGCGTGAAGGCGTCATAGGCCTGAGCCAGCTCCTCAGTGCGGTACTGCTCCAGCACCACAACGCCCTGTAGGCCCGCGCTGCGGCGGCGCGCACAGCCCTCGCAGTGCACCAGGTACGTGTTGCGGCTGCCGTTCTCACTCGTCACGAACAGGATGTTGAATACCTCCACCTGGTCGGGACAAACTGGCAGTCACAAAGAGGGCTGGCCACAGTGGACACCTCCTCAGGGGCAAATGAGAGGAAGAACACTTCACTCACATCGCACTCGTTGCAGTAGTAGGCGGGCTCGTCCTTGACTCGGCCCTGGTAAGCTATCTTCTTCCCTGCTCGCACCAGGCTCT